GTTTACAAACTTGAAATTAATATTTTATTTAAAAAAAACTGAATTCTTTCATTTTGATCTAATAAATCATTGGTGCCTTAATATATATATATAGTTTGTTGTGGATGTTATTTTACACACCCTTTAATTAATGAGTGCAAAGATATACATTAGCTGTTATTTTAGAATAGTTTTACGATTAGCGAGATCGAGCCTAATCACATGCGCCGGCACGCTACTTGCAATATAATATCTTTTCCTTGATAGTGTATGTATATGTGTTTAATCTTAAGCAATAGGGTTTATCTTTATATTTTTAACATAAACCTTAAGTTAAGGGGATCACCTAATCAAATGGTATAGGTAATGCCAAAGATAATACTAACAACTTAAATAATTCAATAGTAATATCTTTTCATTAGAAGTAAAATATCTTAAATTCTAATCATATGACATGCGAATATAGTAGAATAAGAAATTAGAGATGGTCGCCTCCCATTAAACAATCGAGATAAAAAAAAAATGGTATAGGTAATAGGTTTGACAAGTCCCAGAGGTGACACTGTATAAATGAAGGATTGGACATGAAGGGCTTGTTTGGTGTGGCTTCTAGGAATTTTAGTTTCTGGACACTATTTATGTTTCATGAATTTAAATTTATCTCTTAAAAATTTACACTTTTAAATATTTTTTTACCTTCAAAAAGTTCTTAAACAGTAAAAGTTCAAAAGTTTCAAATCCAAACTTTTCATAAATTCCATTTTTACTTATTTTTCACTCATTTTTTCACTTTTTTAAAAGATAAAGCTCTATTTTTTCCTCCAATAAAAATTTAAATTTATCACTCGTAACAGTACTAAAAAAGCAAAAATTCTCACAAGCCACACCAAACAGGCTCGAATTCTACATCAAATCCCAAAAAATTAAAAATAAAAAGACCAGACTAAGGTTGTAAGGGGAAAAACAGCCAAAGATCATAGTCAAAATCCCTTTGTAGAGGCTTAAAAAAGACTTATAGGCTATTTGGATTAATCTTTTTGAAACAATTAATAGTTGATAGTTGATATCTTCTATTGATAATAATTTAAAATATTTAATTCATTTAATTAAAATCAACAACTGATAATTATTTTTAATCAGTTAAAACAAATGCCTCTTTAAACTTAATGTTTAAGAAAAAAAGGTCATACCCTTTGTTTCTCCTTTGTTCCGCCCCTAGTCCCATTCCCAAATGTTAATCTTAATTAAGCAATAGAATAAGCTCAAGATTTTTATGTGTATAATACTTAATTCCTAAGGTTACGCCTAGCAGCCTAGGGATAGCAAGCAGGTAAAAGATTTAATTAATTCACTAAACACGATATCCAAATCAACAATTAATCAATCAATTGCTAACTTCTAGTTTAAACATATAAGTTAGAAGTTGAGCACGACATTATAATTTACATTTTACGGACGATAATAACTAAACTGAGTCGACATAGTTCATGACATGATTATAGGGGTTAATTAGTTTTATTTTATTTTATTTTTTTTCTCATGAAAACACGCCTGCCGACCGTGGCCTGGCACCAACTAGAGTTTGGTGACCGAAAAGAGTTGATTTCCATTTGTTTCATTTTGTCAACTTCATTTTTTTCAAAAAGATTTTTACCTATTTGGGCAACCACATGTGCTCCAGATGGGGACAAACAGATGCTATATTGATTTCAGCTAACCCACTAAGATAATTGCATTAGACATTAGTAATATTCTTCATTAATTATTATTTTTTTAACTCTATCTTTTCCTTTTTAGTTGTCTTAACCCTTAATTTTATGTAAATTAATTTGATAATTTTATATAATAAATGAGTGACAATTAAAAATGTTTTTTATCCAACTAAAAATACTTAATAAGAACTATATATTAAATAAAATTTCAATTGTCATATATTTATTATATAAAATTATTTGATTAAATTAATTTTATGTAAAAGTCAAATTAAAATAGCTAATTTATATCAAAGTAGCAATAACTACTTTTTATTAGTTATCAATTATATAATTAAAAATAATCTTCTGTTCTTGAAATTATCATTGGTATCAAGATTTGAAGATGAGATTTCTTGACATCTCACATCCCCTTCTTCCGAGCTTTGTTAATCATTCAAACTCAAGAATCCTAATTTGTATATTGCCATGTGATCGGCCGGGAGCTTTTGTTACGACTTGTAATAGTGTATATAGATTAAGAATCCTATGAATCATCCAATTAATTAATCAGTCAAAGAAGTACAGAACCGCTATTAATTTATTTATATTTAGTGTGAGTTGAAATCATCATATATCCCTTGCTTTGTTTATTTCATTGAATATATTTGTAGATATTATTCTAAAGTCACCTTCCTTTGTTATCAGTTCCTATCAACGTGCAAACCCTGCAATATATTCCAAGCTGAGAAACTTTAAAATAAGAGAAAAGAATAAAACTAATTTAGGGAAGATAGCTTGATTACTTAATTATGAAAGCAACATCTTGTGATGTAGATTTTAATTTTGTGAATGGGACCTTTGTCCCTCAATGGACCGGCATGACCCTTGAAAATTAAAGGGCATCTTATTCTATACTATTCTAATTTCTGTTACAATTGCCCCACTACTATATTTTAAGAAAATAAAAAATGAAAACTTTATCTAAATTAAAAACTATTATAATTAAACCCA